TCCTTCCTTCCTTCCTCCCTCCCTCCTTCCCTCCCTCCCTCCTTCCCTCCCTTTCTCTCCCTTTCTTTATCCAGCAGCTAGAGCTGTGCTCAAGCCCTAGTAAATGACTGAATGAATAAATGTGTCGGCACACACACTGAAAACATTGTTTATGGAAGGCATGAATGACTACAGGAATTTAAGTGAAGAGCAGCATCTGTAGCCACAAAGAGACAATGGTGCAGTGATCTCCTGGGAAGTACACCAGGCAGAGTGAGCATCTTCTGGTCCACGGGTTTGCCCCTGTTGAAATGTAACAGAAACACAGGGGTGCACGGGTTAGGGATCATTCCCTGTCACCAGGCAGACCTCAGACATATGAAGCAGCAGGAAAGTCCTGGCTCACCTAAACTCAACTAGATATTGAAGAAAACAAATACTGGGCAAACATGACGGGGGTGGAAGAATGGAAGTGCCACGGAAGGGAGCGTGGTACCTCTGCAGTCACAGCCAGTACCTGAGCCACAGGCCAAAGGAGAGCCCTCACTGTTAAGGAAATTCAAGACGTGCAGTGCTCCCCTTGCAAAGTCGTCCACTGATCCAGCTCTCAAGCTGTCCAGGTTTAGCTGAAAGATGTTGCTTTAAATGACAAATCTCATTTTGTCATGTAATACCCACCCAGGGGGAAGAAAAGATACGCTAGCAGTAGTTTTCATGAAAAGGTGAGGCTTGAAGTCATTCCTGTTACTTGAACGGCCCTTACCAACCTTCCTTCCTTGTTCTATTAACCTGATGTAATTTCATAACCTATGTTCTTTCTGCTATCTGCTGGTGTAAATGTCTAAAGACTTCTTATCAGGGGAGTGGGGGGAGGCAGGAGAGGGTAACGGGGGGGGTAAATGGTGATGGAAGGAGAGTTGACTTAGGGTGGTGAGCACACAATACAATATACAGATGATGTGTTATAGAGTCGTACACCTGAAACCTATATAATTTTATTAACCAGTGTCACCCCAATAAACTCAAAAACAATTTAAAAGACTTTTTATCCATATCATTCAGTGTGATGTTACTCTTCCTATGAGAGTGAAAGATGGTTCTATGCCATGTGTGTCCAAACTTTCATTTATTCCTTCCTTCATTTACAGATAGGACAGTAGTAAAGTGTAGCGGATGGATTCTGATTCAGGAACACCGACACTTTAACATTTAAAATCTGGTGATTTTGAGCAAGTCATTTATACATTCTAAGCCTCAATGTCCTCTCCCTCTCAGGACCTTTGCACATGCTGTTTCCTTTAGAATCTTTCCTTTCTAACTAGTGTCCTTTTGTGTATTCTAGTCAACATTTCTTTTACAAGGAGAAAAAGTTACGTGGGTGTCAATCTGAGTCAGAATCCAAAATGAGCAAATATTTGTTGAGCAAATGAATTTATTAAATTCTCCTGAGCATTGTATGAGGTGCTTCATATTGTTTCAGTTTCATGAGAACCGAGCAGGGTAAGTGTTCGTGAACCTGCGTTACAGATGAAGACGATGGAGGTGAGAGTGACTGTCCGTGCACATGTGCTCTTAAGTGGCAGTGCCGGGATTCAGGTCTGACTCCTGGGTCAGCTCATTTGTCCACAGCCCCCACAGGCTCCCCATGAGAGGGGACCCCGGGCTTCCTTTTACTTGGATGACATGAGATTTCGCTGCTGCTGAAGCAGAGAAAGCGGCCTTACCATGCTCTTCTTGTCAGCCTTCTGGATCGTGTACCCTGTAATGGCTGCATTACCATCATCCTTCGGCGGTGTCCACGTCAGGGCAACATTCTCTCCCCAGACATCCTCGATCTTCACAAGTTGGGGCGGCCCCGGGCGGTCTACAGGGTAAGTTCACAGCATCGCAAAAATCAGAGGACGGTTCAGGTGAGAGAGGGCCACCTGCAAGAGATGGTCTCCCCTCCTTGCCTAACCGGACAGAGGGAAGGGCTCACCTTATCTGGTATTTGCACAGGTCAGAACCTAACCAGCCCTGCGGATCAACCAATTCAGTGTTTACCTGTTTAACTTCATTTAGGCAAGTCTTCCTTATATTTAACAAAAATTCCTTCAGTTTCCACTAAAACCTTACTACTAGCAAATGCTACGTGTAGTGGACACATGTTAAACTGTGTCTAGAATCTACAGTGTTTTCTACACAAGAATTAACACGGCATAGTTTTATCATTGAGGAGTCGAGAAACAGAGTAAGAGAGGACTGGATTTTAAAGCAATACAGATGGTTTTCACTAAAAAGTATATACATAAATTTTCTTTAACATAGATGCCCCAAGTCGCCCACGATTAGTCCTTTTAGTCGGTGAAAAACTGTTCCGAAATGATAACAAGTCTTACTCATGTATCTGTTAAGAAATTCTAAAATAAAAGAATTTTATGTAGAGCCAGCCTAACACAAATTGTCATTTTAGCCTTAATGACAAGGATAATTAGTCCAGATACTGCTTTGACAGAACGTTCTAGCTCCTTCTCACAAACCTACCAACGATCTGGATGTCGATTGACGCGTTTTCCACAAATTTTTCCACTTTGACCTGCAGGTCGTATTTCCCTGAGTGGCTCCTCTCTGCTTTCCTGATAAATATGATGGTGTCAGTGTCAGAGTTGCGAATGTTGATCTGATTCTTATCAATGTCTGCACCATCCTTCTTCCAAGTTAATTCTGGTCTTGGTTTTCCCTGCAAAGACAGACAGGAAAAGAAGAGGGGGAGGGAAATCAGATGGTCTCAAGATTTTTTCCCACTATTACAAAAATATGACAGTGGCTTACCCTGTTCAAGGCCAGTTTGGCAAGCAGCCTGGAGGCGGGCAACTACAGCAGCAACAGTAATACTCGCTGCCTTGACTGATTCTGTGTACAAGGCACTACGTTAGGTACATGACGCTTATTACTTCCCGTCAGCTTCATATCAAGATAGTATCATTAGCCTCATTTTTTTTTAAGACAAGGAGTTAAATGACTTGCCCAAGGCCCTGCAGCTAAGTAAGCATTAGAGCCAGGTTTTACAACCGGGTCTGTCCAGCTCCAGAGCCTGCACAACACAGCGTAATGGTCAAGAGCGTGGGCTTAGGGGCTCTGGAATCTACATTTGGATTCTGACTCGTGACCTTGGGTAAGTTACTTAAACTGTCTGTGCCTCAGTTTCCCAATTTGTAAAATGAGAACAAGGATAGTGCCTACCTCACAGGGTGGTTATAAAGACTGAAGTGCTTAGAAAGCTTCTGCACACTACATAAGTGTTTTATTAACACCATCTAAATGATATTAATAATGATTCTTATCCCACTTTACTCTACTGCTCACGTCAGAATTCTCTAGTATTCTCTCTTTTTTTCTAGCTGCTGAAACTATTCTTTCAAAGCAGACTTTGAGAAATTATTATCTCATTCACGGATATGGGTTTCAGTTTATATGACAAAGAAACTTCCTAGGATTCCTGAGCTCCCAGGCTCCTCCACAGACAGGAACCAAGCCTTCATTCAGTCAGGTGAGGCACGACCTTCCCATGGGTCCCTCGGGTGGTGTTGATAGGTTACATAAGGAATGTGAGAGACACGCATCACACCCCCTCCCACAGAGCATGGAGAATGGTTGGGGGTGCTCAGATTTGTCCATGGGAAGTAGAGGACAATATTGTTAAGATGCAGAAAAATGGTTCCAGGTCTTATTTCCTTAAATGTATGCCATTAACTACTGGGGGAAAGACTGAGTTGTCTGATAGCCTATGAAGTGAAAAAAGCACTGGATTAAGTGTCAGGAGACATAGACTCTGCTCTTGGCACTACCATTTACTTGCTGTGTGATCTTGGGCCAGTCACTTAACCTCTCTGACCATCAGTTTCTTCCCTTCTCAAGTGAGGATAAGGAAATCTGCCCTTCCTGTCTCACAAGGTGTTTTTTCAAATTAAATGAGAAAATGCTTATGAGATCTCTAGAGGTTACACGAATATACAAACATGGAACAGTCTTGTCACCCGCTTCCTGGCAGCTAAGAAGCCCCTGGGATGACATACCTATGAGGTTCCTGTTCTCATGCTCTTTACTCTCCCAGACCAGGTGACAGAGACGAAACACACAGACCCCCAAGATCTGGGCACTGGGATGAGCCCTAGTGGTAGAAATGATTCAGCAGCTCTGGTCCAGGGCTGAGGCTGGGTCCCCAGTGCCTGCCTTGTCTCAGCTCCTGGTTTTACTTGAGGCTGTGAGAGGAACCTCGCCAAGTCATCTCCTCCCCCGTTGTGTTTACACTTGCATCCTCCATGGCTTTCATCCTGATTTCATGTACGATGTATGTAGAAGATAACTAACCACCTCTTCTAAAGTGTGGGCCCCAGTTCAATGAGGGTGGCCTGAACTCACTGGTTAGCTTGGTTAGCTTGATTTTCATGGGGGCTCTGAGTTTGAATGAACTCTGGTGTGTGTGTGTGTGTGTGTACGTCTGTGTGTTCAAATATGGACAGGGACCTAAATTCCAAGGCCATGCTGTCTGATATAGCAGCATGTGGCTATTTAAACTAAGATTAGCTATAATTAAGGAAAATTGAAAAGTCACACTAGTTCCTAGTTGTACATTTCAAGTGTTCAGCAGCCACGTTTGGCTGCTGGTTGCCATATCAGACAGCACATATATAGGACATTTCCACCATTGTACAAAGTTCCATTAAACAGTGTTGTCTAGAGGCCAAAAAAAGAGTCAAATGAGTAAGCGTGTGGTGGTGCAGTGTGTGTGTATTCGACTGAGTGTGTGTGTGTATGAGACCAAAACTGATTACTGTAGGTAAAGCCTGGTTAATCTTATAAATAACAAGTTCTTTCGCTGGAGCAATGACTTAACAATATTTACATATTTGAATCCCCCTTATTGGAATTTCATTTGGTTCAGGGTAGTTGTGGGAAGTAAGCCCAAGTCATCTTCCTGACTGTTATACTGAGAACTTCACTTCGAATGAAGGTCAGTTTTACAGATGGGTAGGACCAGAAAGAATCTTCAAGATTTCTTGTTTTGCTCTCTCCTCGATGTTTCCTTCCCACCCCACCAAAGTCCCAGAGCTTCAGATCTCATTTGTGTCATGCAGAAGGAAAATCTATGACAGTTTTACTGTCATATAGCAGTATGACACCTGAGCAGTATTTTTACCTGTCTCCCTTGGAGGAAATCCTGACTCCTGATGAATGTCAATACTAGAGCATCTCCCTCTTCTTCTTAAACACCCCAGCATTGGAAGAGAAAGTGAACCACCCCTGAATTATTTAATACCTGGAAAGGTATAACCAAGTTGACAGCTTCTCCAACTCTGCGGATATAGGTCTGCTTCAGGTGCCTTGGGATGCGAATCTTTGGAGGCTCTGAGTGAGGGGAGCATAGCACAATTTTGTGGTCAGTATAGTAACACTGGAAATAGCCTGACATCAGCATACTGACATGACGCTCACTGCCTGTGTCTCTGCAGTAAGACTTCAATGTGCCACTAATAAATTATATACGGTAACTTCAGTTCCAAATGTTTTCTTCAGATATTTTAACAGTTTAGCAGAACAAAATTATCGTTGACCTCTTTGATTTTACTGCAACTTCCTATTTTTATTGTCATTATAAGCCTAAAGCAACTTTATAGAAAAACACCAAACTTTCTCTTGGGACCTTGTACATATTTTTCATAGTTTCCAACAGTGAGTATATTCTCCAATGAACGACCCATTAAAGGTCTACAAACCCCACATGGGCTGGTAGGACTGCCCATTCTTTCTTACCAGAAAAAAAAAGTTTGAGCACTGAGCACTTGCTACTGAGATGATGCTGTTGGAATTTTACAGTAACTTGTGACGATGGTGAAGCACATTATAGGTGACGCTGGTCAGGGCACATGTCCGGGTTGTGAGTCTGATCCCTGCTAGGGGTGTGCAGGAGGCAGCCGAGCCATGTTAGGCTCTCACATGGATATGTGTCTCTCCTCCTCCCTTCCTCTCTCTCTTAAAAAAAAATCACTAAAAAAAAAAAAAAGGGTGCTCCAAGGCAAAACTGGCCCTTGTATTTTATCCGCAAGTGCACGTGGTGAGGTTAAGAAAAGCTCAAGGTTTGGTGGCGCTCACTTGATCCAGGCTAAGGCACCAGCAGTTTGACTCGCTCCCGCTTCAGCGCCATCAGAGCAGATGTCAAACATTGTGTTCAGGTTATTAGGAAAATGGTTCTGACCTTGCAGATGCGCTTGAGACATTTGCTGTAAGAACTGTTCGCACTGCTGCACCCCCCCCCCCGTCTC